AGATAGATAGATAGATAGATAGATAGATAGATAGATAGATAGATAGATAGATAGATAGATAGACAGACAGACAGACAGACAGACAGACAGACAGACCTATATATAGGTAATAATGATATTAAAACTATTCTTTAGATGCTTTTCAGGCCCACATGATTCCCAGAACACTTCTCACTAGCACTCCAAGGTTCAGCAAAATTTGAATTGTATTGTGGTTGCCTGAATCCTTCTTTCCCTGGAAAGCTGAAACCCAGGTGTCACTTTAGTCCAGTTGGAAATCTGCAATATAGTCATTTTTCAATGGCTACTGCTATCAAAACACAGGGCCAAAGTCAAACTAGATGAAGTGTGTGCATGTATGTACTGTATGAAACTACCTTCAAGAAAATTAAATAACAGAGCAGGATACGTTCAGGCTTGTCTTAACAGACCATGTGTACATCTGAAGATATGAGTCTAGGGGAGTGTTTCTCAACCTTGGCAACTTGAAGATATTCGGGCTTCAGACCTTGCTGGCTGGAGAATTCTGGGAGTTGAAATCCACACATCTTCAGACTGCCAAGGTTGAGAAACACTGGTCTAGGGACATCAGGGAACACTAATTAACTGCAACTTCTTTCAGAGGAATTGTTTCCCTATGTTTACAACCAAAAATCTCACCAGGATTCTTCAACTAGCACTAACAACACCTACCCTAGAAAAATTCCACATTGCCTTGTGCTTCTCTACTGAAGAGGACAGAGGTGGACCGGAATTGCCACCATGCTGCCTTTTATTTTATTGATCCATAATAATCGCATCCCACACATCTGCTGAAAGGCTTTTCTGGAAAGCAGACGCAATACAATAGAAACATTCATGCCAGCAGTCTTCTGATCAAAAAGGAAAAAAGGGAGCTTGGATTCTAGTTCATAAATATGAGCCTACAATCAGTTGAATACAGTTTAGAAAGAGTGAGCACACATAGCTGATCTTGATGGAGGGTGATTGCCTGATCTGATTAAGTGCCATCAAGCTGGTGTTGACCTTAAGGACATAGGCACACTTTCTCCAAGTTGACCTGTGCTCAACCTGGCCTTTGAGGGCTCTCAGTGACATGTTCATTGTGGTTGTAATCAAGTCCATCCATCCCAACTCTTCTGGTCCTACAAACTCCAGAAGGTCCTGCTCGTCCACTAGATTATTATGCCAAGACAGCTGATCTGGGGTTGGGCTGGCAGGTTTTCCAGAAGTTAATCCCTCCAAACCAGAAACAGATTGTGTTTTCTGGAGGCAGCCTGGCTCCAAAACTGGCCTGTTTCATCCTGGAAC